GGCCCCGGAAAGCTAGGCTGGTGTGAGAAAGCTGTTACCTTTTTGGTGGTCTAGAACGCGTAACGGCAAGGCAGCTCCACCAGCCTGAGAAGCAATGGTCATTTGAACGTTAAAGAAACTCTGGGCCTTCAGAGCCTTTCCGCCGTGGCATCACCGAGAAGCAGGCACAAACGAGGGACTCACAGGAACACAAAGGGAGAGAGGCAGATGGATGGAGGGGTTGAACCACGAGGCTCAGCTGGCACAGCCCCGTCCGAGGGGCAGCTCCTGGTCCCCAAGAGCTTCTTGGGCAATGGCTCGAGCCACCACCCGCCTCCCCTCCTGCAGAGAACGGTTTTACCAGCCCACGGCGGCCTGGTTTAGCAGTCGCAGCTTTCGAACAAACGCCAAATAAATAAGAGGTAGCAGGGAAGGAGGGACAGACATTCCCAGAGAGGGGGACGGGCTCCACGGTGCCAGCTATGGACTTCTCTAACAACAGACATTTGTTCACACACAACTTTCTAGGAAGCTTATCAGAACCGCCAACAGAACATTAAGGGTGAATAAACCTTTGTTTGGCTAGATCTGCTGCTTTAGATGCTGAACTTCAGAACCAAAAGCAGGGAAAAAGTCTCACGTAAAAAAGCTTCCACGTGAAGGTGACCAGCTTCGCGAGCCACATCCTCGTGGAAAGGGACAAAACCAGACTTACCTGCAACACCACCAGTGACCCGGGCTAACGGAGAGCCAACCCATTCTCTGAGTTTCGGGAAAGGACAGAGTGGTGTGTTAGACTCAAAGATTAAATTTGGCCTCATATTGCACACGTTCAAAGGGCGCAACCACTGCGGGGGAGGCAGAAAGTGAAGCCACTGAGGAGCACGGACTGGCCCTCGGATTAGCCCACACTGACCCTCGGACTAGCCCACACTGCTGGGTAAAAGAAAGACAGGGCGGGGAGCGGGTCGAGGGGAAAGTTAAGAGGCATTTCAATGCCAGATCCAAAAACCGTTCTGCATTCAGTCAACTGTGAAAAGGACCCCCAGCCCATTTCCACGGCGTGAGCCAGCCACCCAGACCCTGGAAATGGGGAGGCCTGGGAACGTGCATTCACACCTCCTGTTCTACGCCAGCAGTCTGCGAGTTAACACTGATTGACCGTCATCCTTCGCTGTGTTCATGATGAGTCTCGTTGTAGTCCATGATATGCAGCTGTCCAACACTGTCCGGGGTCGGGGGGGACGGGTGCGGGCCGTCTAGGCTCGGGGGGGCCTTGCCTTCCGCACCCGGGTCTTTGCCCGGTTCTGTCTTTAGCGTTTCAGAAAGGCTACTGATGGTCACGCTGTCCTCGTCACACTGGCTCTCGCTCTTATTACGAAATAACTCTCGCGCCTTCCTGCCCAGGAAGCTTTTCGAACTGGGAAGGGAGCCAACGGTGGTCGGGATGCTGGTGGCGGGCTCTCCCGTGGTCGTCTCCCACCGACTGCCGAACGGGCCCGCCCTCTGGCTGGGGGGCTTCTCCGGGGTCGAGAGCTCGCCACTGCTGCCCCCTCTGCTTCCACCGCCGCCCCGCACACCGGCGGGCCTGGGGGGCTTGGTCTCGCCGTTGTGGCCAGGTGCCTCTTCGTTGTGCCCTGTTACAGAATCCGAGCAGCCGTCCTTACAACAGGCAAGCCTGTAAGAAAGCCGGGGAGGACAAAAGGGGTGGTGTTGGCAGCGCCTGTGTTCCGGAGGCACGCACGTGGACACTGAACGCCACGCTTCAGAACGGAGAGCCCGAGCATGAGGTCTCAACGAGGGAAACCGAGTCACGACGAGGGACAGCAGAGGAGATCGCACATGTGAGCACTTCTGTGACCACATCCAGCGATTCAGGGCCAAGGACAGGGACGCACAGAGACCGCTGGGAGCCGTGAGCAAAAGGAAACCGAAGTGCCACAGCCCCGCCTGATCCAGGGGGACGGCTCCTTACGCCCCACGACACGGGCCCTGTCCTGCTGCTGACGCGGCCGAGGCACAGGCCGCTGGCGCCACCTCTGTTCTTACCTTTCTTCTGCCGCTTCTGCTGCTTCTGCTTTTTCTTCTTCAAGTTTCTTCAGGAGGCTGTCCTTCTCCAACCTGCCGTATAAATCTAAGATCTCCAACTCAAACACCTGGGTGATCCTCTTCTGAGCCTCATACCTGCTCTCTGCCGCCTGCAGCTGTCCTCTGAAACACAGGCGGCCCCAGAATATAGGAAGCTTTGCTTAACGCACACATCACTGCAGAAACCTTCCCCCGTGGGAGTTACCTGGCCTGGAGTTTGACATCCTCTAAATATTTCTTCTGTTCCAAAAGAAGGTGGTCTTTCTTGGCCAGGTGAGATTCCAGTTCCAAAATCCGTTTCTGAGAGGTGTCGAGCCTCTGATTCTGCTGGAGGACATGGCTTCTGTTTTTTTCTAGTTCTTTCCGATATGCAGCTTTCATCATTTCCACTTCCTAAAAAAAAGGGGGGGGGCGATTGGAGTTAGTCTTTTTAGAAAACGAACATGCCACGTCCATGTTGGAAAATCAAGGCGATAAGCACTGAGAAGGTACTCTGGGCCAGTCCTGGTGGAAATCTGAATTAGTACAACTTTTTGGAAAGTAAGCCGGCGGTAAGTATTAATCTAATACCCCTTCCTAGAAATCTACCCCTGAGGAAATCATCTGAACCACAAACACACATTTGGGCACAAAAGGAATCATCTCAGCATACTGAGAAGGGCAAAACACTGGAAGCACCGTTAAGTCAAATGTCAGGAAAACAGTTAAGTGAGTTAAAGCCCATTTCATAAGTTTTTAATAAACTTACAGTTTATACATCAGTAAAAGGATTTTTAAAAAGCAAACTATAAAACCATGCGAATAGGATCAACTATGCAAACACTGACACTCACAAGCATCAAACGAAACTAGGCCAATGTTCAGTTATAGTTTCAACATACTGGTGTCGCGGGTCTTTTTTTGTTTGTGTGTTTGTTTCTCTTCCCCTCACCCTGACGAAGGGAAAGCTGGCGGGCATGGCCCGGCCTGGCAGGGTTGCTCAGGCAACACGGCACTGGCAGATCAGGTGCCCCATAAGGTTTGGCGATCCCGCCAGGCAGATGGCCGGCCTGCTGACAGACTAAACCAGCTGAACCCAGGACAAGTGTACACTCACGCTCAGAAAAGACACAGAAAGAACGCTCTTCTAACAAGCATGTGTTACATTTGCGTTGTGCGTTTTTACCATGGAAAGACACACATATAACTTACATAGATTTGTTTTTCTCAAAAAGATACACCATAAGGAACAAGGCAAAGGGCTTCCATGGAGGTGGGCCTCAAAGAATAACGGTGAATGCTTTCTTGGCGTGAAAGGCCACAGATTTAAGCTCAGAACTGGGCGCCAGATCACATGGCCACGCTGGCTGTGCCCAAGGGCTCCAGACTTGCTCACGTTAGGTGAACAAATCAGACCTCTGACATAAATGACAGCAGTTCTTCATGGAGAATCAAAGTACGGAACTCCGAACATCCGCGTGCTTCCACTAACCCTCCCGATCATCCCATGACGTGCTACACCAACACCTACCGGCCATGCCCAACCTCTCAGATACCCACCCCACCTCCCCCACTTGACTGAACAGCAGAAAGCCTGACTCCAGGCCCAAGGGCAAATCCTGGCAGGTTCAAGGCAACGACTGAGCTAAGGATGGGCACACACGACACAACCCTGGCTGATAACAAGGGTGGGACGTCTGGTGTGAGACCCGCAGGAAGCGTCCTCTCCTCTTCCGTGGGACGTCGTGGGGTCTACCTGTGACCACTGCACCCGCAGCTCACGCCTCGCAACCACCAGCACAGTGAGTCCGAGGACGAGGGTGCCGCGATGGGTCAGGTAGTGTCGGAGACGGAAAGAACTGGGTTTTGTTTTTGTGGTTTCTTGCTTTTAAGTAATCTCTACATCCAACCTGGGGCTCGAACTCACAACCCCGAGATCAAGAGTCACATGCTCCACCAGCTGAGCCAGCCAGGCACCCCAGAACTGACCTCTTTGATGCTGTCCCTAAATTGCTGACTTGACCAACCCGGGACTCACCTGCTTTGGGACTTCTTGTCAAGCGAAATAAATAATGCAACTCCTTATCGTTAAGCCAATTTGGTTCCTCTTGTTGTTACTGCTTACGGCGGCAGGCATCCTGACTGCTACAAGTCAGGGTCAGCACGTCCATTTCAGGGACGATGAAACGGGGCCCAAAGAGGCCAGGTGGCCTGCTCGGGGCCCCAAGAGTACAAGCCTTCCAGCCGAAGGACAGCAGCACAGAGGCCAGCCCAGCGGCACTCTCGGGGGCGTCAGGAATGCGTATGAGTAATAAGGATGTTCGGGGCTGTCCTGTCCTGAGGTCTGTCTCCCCTCTGTCTTTTCCAAACCCCTTAGACTTCCAGAATGACTGGTGGCTGGTTTCTAGAGAAAGTTCCACACTTAAACGTCCTACTAAAGGGAGTCTGAGTCTGATAGCTGAGAGGAGCTGAGGAATAAGGAGTAACTCTATTAGAAAAATTACATCTCTCTGCTCCTAAGCCTACTCTGTACATTTGGCCCAGAAAGATGCTTTACAAAGCACAAGCCCGAGAAATCCTGAAAAGAAAGCCTGTGTGTGATGGAGAAGTTAGTGACAGGAAGCATCTGAACATTTACCATTAAAATTCCATTCCAACTCATTCCCAACTCGTTCGCTAACATTACCCGAGGCTATTTAGAAAGTGACACAAAACTTCTGCCTCAACACCACGGGTGAGTCGCTAATTAACGTAAGATCATCCCGATGCCGGCCTTGTTGCCAGAACTGAACCACGATCTGCTGAAATTAAACCCAACGTTGAAAGGAAGAAAAGTTACGTACACTGGTATATGCCCCCAGTCCTGAGAGTTCTGTTCAACAGAAGTGGCTCCCCGTCCTTTCCTTGTCTCTCTCCCTCCGTCTCTCGGGGCGGGCACGGGCAGAAGAGAGACCCTGCCAGCCACTGTGTACCAACTCCCACGAGCTGCTTTCACTTGCACCTGACTTAGTCTCACAGCGAGCCAGCTGGGGGACATCAGCTCGTGCGACGGCCAAGGACGCTCACCCCAGCAGGCCGGCGGGGGCGCGGGGAGACGGCCGCCAAGAACACTGAGCGGGCTCTCAGGAAACATCTGTACCAACGTGTCCTACGAGTCCCGCCCCCGCCCCGGGCCCGGCTCCCCGAGCCCGGGCCTACCTTTGTGGTGTCCGAGTGCTTGTTCTGCAGCTGCTCCAGATACAGCTCGTTGACCTCCCCAAGGACGAGCAGCTGCCTGTTCAAGAACTCCATCTGCTGCTGGACCGACTCGCTGTTCGAGAGCTGTGACCACAGCACAGAAACAGGCAAAGTGAAAGACCCCGCGACACAACGCAGGCCAGTGGGCATCAAAGAGCACCCAGCCAGGAGCGCATGATCTCAGGGCTCGGGCACGATAACCACTCCCTCGGCTTCAAATCCCCTCACACGACGGCTGGTGGAGAGGAAGGCATCCCAGGGCAACGAAAATGGGCAGAAGAGCACTTCAAAACTGTGCTGTGCAAAGGGGATGCAGCCCAGGTGCATGTCATCAGAGTGGCCACCCACAAGATGCCCGGAGAGGACAGGCGTGCCCGGAGAGGACAGGCGTGCGTACGACAGTCACCGCAGGGGCACAATGTCCAGGGTTAAAGCCCAGGAAAACTCACTTATTTCCTTCATAAGTGATCTCTACACAGTGCAGTGAATCCCAACAAGGGAGGGATCCTAGCTCAAGAAATCTCTGTGAACCAACTTTTCAAGTTTATGTAAACGAGGATTTAAAAATAAGAGTTCCGGAGCGCCTGGGGGGGCTCAGTCGGTCGAGCGTCCGACTTCGGCTCGGGTCACGAGCTCGCAGTTGAGGAGTTCGAGCCCCGCGTCGGGCTCCGTGCTGACAGCTCGGGAGCCCGGAGCCCGCTTCAGATTCTGCGTCTCCCTCGCTCTCTGCCCCCCTCCCCCCACCGCCCCGCCCACTTGACTCAGGCCAGACAGATGTGCTGCGGAGACCGTCCTACACACTGGAAGGGGTTTAGCAGCACCAGTCCCCTGCCCGCTCGGCGTCGGTAGCACCAAAAACGCCTCCACACATTGCCCGGCGTCCCCTGAGGGGGTGGGGCCGGGAGGCCAACCCTGGGGGGAACCCCGGCCACCGGCGCACAGGCCCCATCGGAAGGAAGCGCGCCAGCAAGCTGTGTGAGAACAGACCGCGCCCGCCCCATTTCTTACCTTCTGGGAGACCTGACTGAGCAGCAGCTCGGTATGGCACACCTTACTGTTGGCTTTCTTCAACTCCAGACGCAGCTCTGCGATCATGTTCCTGCAGTCCTCCAGCTTTGTCTGCCCAAAGAGACGGGCCACGAAGTTACACAGAACCCGCGGGCCACGGCACCGGCCCACAGACAAGCGGGAAAGCCCGGGTTCCCTACTGCTCTACTCTTCTTGGGCCATCGGGATTTAGTTTCTTAGTTTCAAAAATTCAGCTACGGTTCATTTCTGGAGTTCCTGATTTGTTTGGCAAAAGAACGAAAAGATCTTGGACCCCAGATCTGCACCGCAGAGTCGTGGGGCTGCAGAGCAAACTCACAGCGGCGCCATGAGGAGACTGTGTTTGAGGGAAACGCAGTGACATCTGTCGGTCACTGTGCACACTACACCCCGGAGGCAGTTCAGGGTTTCAGGATCAGATGTGCTCGCTAGTCCCTGGGGATGATGTCATATCTTTGCAAAGCAGGGTTCGGGTGTTTGCGGGGATAAAAATCGCCCTGTGAAAACCAGCGTGAAACAGGAAATGAGGGCGCCAGTCTCCAATGTGATTGCAAGATCTGAGACTCCACGCGGTGCCAGATGGGCAGGCACGGCACTGGTCAGTTATTGTGGACATTTAAAAACGAAATTTAAAAAAAATGTAAATTTACGTGTGTGATTTTCAAACAGCGACTGCGTCATCAGGACGTAAATACTAAGTCGCTCAGATCTGCTCAACGAGCAGAACCGTCAGGTGTCTCCCTTGGCTGCAGAACGCCAGGGAAGTTCCCCAAACGCCAAGGGCGGCTTGTAGGAACCAAGAGAGCTGGGAAGCCCTGCCTGACGTGAAACCCGCGTCCGGTGGCATCGGAGACCAGAGCCCGCGTGCTGGCTGCGATGGACAAGGCGCCCTGGCGCCCTCCCTCGGCTGCCCCCGCCCGGCGGCTGCCCGCACCTGCAGCTCCTGGCTCTGGTTGTAGAACTCCTCTCGGTCGTGCTGCAGCTGTCTGATCTGGCTGTGGAGCTGGGTCACCATCGTGTCTCGCTGCTCCTGCAGCTGACTGTTTCTGGCTTGTTCCTTCTGCAGACTGACCTTCCATATCTGGATGTCCTTCTCTTGTAACTTCAGCTGGTCTTTCTGACGGGGACCAAGGATGTGATCATTTTAGCCGTCTGCCACCGTGGGCGGTGAGGCTCGAGGACGAGGCATACCGCGGATGTCTCATGCAGACGGCCACGTGCCACCCTGCCACGGGAACCCCGGGCCCGGCGTCCGCCAGCTCACAACTGTCCAGCGTGGCTCGAGGTCAAGGGTTAACCAATTTCACAGTAGCAAACGGATCACAAGATGCCAGAAGAAATTTTCCCAGGGGCCGACTGCCCCTAGTACCTTCAAAAGCCCTAACCATCAGCTCTGGTGTAAGACCTCTCATACACACTATCAATTGAGGTCACTAAAAACGAGGAACGTTTACCAACTACCCACCCAGGCACCGCACAAGCAGTCACGTGATTTCTTTACGTTTTAAAAGGCAAGTGCTGCTGTTCTCATTCCCATTTTACAGAACGGCTAACAGAGGCTCCGAGAGGCTTCACCACTTTCCTAAGGTGGTAAGTGGTAGAGCCACGGTTCAGCCTCCAGGTCCAACTGGCTTCTCAACTGTGCTACAAGATTTTTGCCATAGAACAGCTTTAGGAGAGCTGGTTTCATATTTGGAGAAACAAAATGATCCGTTGGCCCTGTTGTCATCACAGCCAATTACGCACAAACAAACAGGTCCCTTGTCCCACGGTGTCCGAGGGCGGCAAGCCAATTCGGAGATCTGGCCGGTCACGCTTCGGCCTCAGAGACCGAGCGGCGGCCCCTGGCCCCACGGGGAGCACAGCTAGGCCTGAACCCCCGGGCCTCGACGCAGCTGCTGCTGTTTGCAGACTGTCGTGCTGACACGAGACCACACGCAGCCTCGGCCGAGCCGCCGCCCCAACCCCCCCCTCCCCTGGATGCTCACCATGGCGGCGTTGTGCTCCTCCAGAGCCGCCGCCCTGGTCACCCGACGGAGGAGTCGCCTGTTCCGGAGAGCATGCTGCTGCCTCTTAAAACGCTCATAGAGCAGCTGGTTGTGCAGTAAAAGCAACTGGTTACGGAGGGTGCGGATCTCATCTGAGGGAGGAGAGCCTGATTTTAAAGCAGAGGGAGGGTGGCAGAGATGCCTTTTACAGAAGGTTCGATCGAGACCCTCCCGTGGCTACTAGCCCAAGAAACGCAATTCTTCGAGAAACAGATCAGCACTCCTTTTGCACGCGACCACGTGGGTCTTGGCAACAGCCATTCGTTAGAAGGGGAAGACGACTCACTACCCATCTCCGCTTTAAAGGAACACAAGAGGGTACGATGCGGGAGGACTCCCGGGGACTTTCCCACACCGTTACTCAAGGCTCCTCTCTTCCCTCCCGTCGTGCTCTCCCCCAGGCACGTCTCTGGTACCACTGGCCTCCCTGGGGTCTTTTCGAGGGAAGCCCGGCAGGAGGGCTGCACGTTCTGCACTCCTGCTCACAGGCACTTGCCATGTGCCACTTGTCAAAAGTAGGAAATGCTGGCTTCCCAACACCTGACACGCTAGAGGCCGAGCAGATATGCCAGCTGGAGCCGTAGCAAGGGGGAGACCCGTTCCTACAGCGCATGCCTCCTCCAGGGACAGAAAAGGCGGCAAGCACACAGGACCCACACAGGTTGGGTTCGGGGCTCAAGTAACAACTTTACCTCCAAAGTGGGTCCAGTCGACAGACTTGCTGGGTAAAGACAACCTAGGAAGAAAGGTTTGGGGTGAAACAAAGTTACCGAGCTCGCCTGGGAAACCTCCTCCGGGCCTTTCAGTGCAGCAAGGCTAGAGCCCTTCCTTGCGGTCAAAGCATCAGAGGGATAAGAAAGTTCCAATCGCCAGGGCCGTGGGGAGTTCGAGGCAGCAGCATACATCGGATGCAGGGCCGGCGCCCACACCAAGCAGGACCCAGTCTCCAGGGTGGAGGGGCCCTCGCTCGGTGCGCGCTCAGGCCGGCCTTTGCTCGGCTCTCCAAGGCGACAGAGTGATCAAACACACTGCCGGCTATTTCAACCCTCTTCACTGCACTACACAGGCAAGTAGCCAAGTTTAAGGAGAAAGTAGGTAATTTACCTGAGCGTGTTACACCACATCTCATTCAAAAAGAGAAATCTCTTGTCAAATTCCACCTGAGGTTATTATATTAGAGACCCTGTTTAGCAACAGCAGAGGATTCAGGCTCTGGACTGGGGATTCCCTTACCCCCTCCCTAGCTAACCGGTGCAAAGGGTAATAAATGAAGGGTTGGAACAGTGGCTTGGACAGGATTCGTCTAAGAAACCCTACGTGTGAGTGCGGGTGTGGAGGAGGGGGCAGGCCACCCCAGCCTCGCACTGAAATGCTGCCGACTTTACCTTCCCTCCGAGGAGCTGTGTCACCAAAACAGAAAGAACAATCTACAGCTAGATAAGGAAACGCCAGGACAAACCTCCCTGTCCCACCTGAATACCACAACCTCATCCTCCGATTTTCGGAGCAGCCGTGAATGTGTCTGAGCTTCGTCACGGTACGGCGGCACAGGTCGGTGGCCCCGGGACCGCCGCGGTCAGGTGCGCGTGGACGCGACACAGTCCCGCACGCGCAGAGGCGCCAGACTGGAAGGGCACTGACAGACACGGGGGAGCCAGCTGCCTCCATGAGCACGGGGAACGAGTCCCGTGTCCGTCCCTGACTGCCTGTATTTTCTGATGAAACCGGACATTGAAAGGGAAGAGAACGGGCCGGGGCCTTACCTGTTCAGCTCCTTGCTGTGTGCGTCCGCTCCCTGCTGTATCAGTCTATCCAGTATTTCCACCGGGGAGGTAGAGGGCGCACGGTCTTCCTCCGCGTTCCCTTTCGCTTTCTTTAACAGTTCCTTGGTCTTCTTGCCGACGAAGTGATGGGCGGTCTTTGGCAACGCCACCTCAAAAAGATGCTCGTAAGGGGGAGGCTGCCCACTTCCAAGGCCCACGCCCCTCTGAGGCGGGATTTTACAAGGGCTGGGAGTGAGGATGTTGGTCTCCAGCGAAGCCTGGCGCTCCCTGTTCCCGGCAGGGCTCTCGCTGGTGCCTCCACAGGGCAGATCTATGGGAGTAAAGGCTTGCTTTGGTGCGTCAGGCCCAAGCTTGTCCAGGGAGGAGTTTAAAGGCTCAGGGTTCACACTGGTGCCGTGAGCGACGGAGGCGGCCGAATGGGTCTTCCGAGGGCAGCCCGGGAGACTGTCCCGGTAGAAGGGAGAGTCGAAGCCTCCTCGAGGAACCAGGAGCTCGGCGTCAGCTGTGGTGATCTCGGAGAGCTCTTTAGATATTGCCGCTGAGAGGAGGGAGGGAGACAGGAGGCGCCACTGTAAACGGGCCATCTGGGCGAGGCCGGGCCGTGCGGGGCTGTGTGATGCCGAGTGCCACCCGGAGCGACACCTAAGACCCAGAATGAGACTCCCATCTTCTACCCCCTAGAGAAGAAAAGCCCAGCAAGCCCGGGAGCGTCGACACTAAATCCCGGTTTTAGGGCACAATAATGAGCGCTTTGTCATCGAGTGGCGATCCCGTCCAAGCCCAGAATCCCACACCTCACCTTCTTCTTTATCTTTTTCAACACTATCTTCTTCCGAGGCCAGGTCCCCTAAAAACCCTGGAAGGTCACTGAGAGTGACAGAACCTTTGCTGCCAGATAGCTCTTCTAAAGAGAAACAAAGACAAGGCGAGTCAAAAAAAACACACCAGTAACCCCCACAACCGTAAAGCTGTTCCACTGCAGAAGATGGCCATCACGACTCGTCCTGCCGAGTGCATGGAGGAGCACTCGGAGCGGCTCTCCCTGGAGCTACTCCAGAAAGCTATAATCAAGGGTCTAATTAAAGGTATGGAAAATTAATCCCACAGAAAATAAAATCTTTTTTTTTTTTTTATAGTTTTATTTATTTCGAGAGCAAGCAGGGGAGGGGCAGACAGAGAGGGAAAGAATCCCAAGCAAGCCCTGCACTGTCAGTGCAGAGCCCGATGAGGGGCTCAAACTCCCGAACCGTGAGATCATGACCCGAGTCGAAACCAAGAGTCGGATGCTTCACTGAGCGGCCCCCGGGCGCCCCCAAAATCCTCTATTCTAAGGTCTCAGGGAACAGATAAAACCGTCTGACCAGTGCAAAACACAGGCACTCCACCGCAATAGCTTAAAAGCGCTTTTTTGGATGTTATTATTAGATTGGTTTTTAGAACTGATTACGTTTCATTATCTCTGGGCTTCATTGTTTGTGGTGTTCCAGAATTTTCTTGTTTCCACATCTAACCCAAGAGGAGACAAGCAACGCCTAGCGTTACCCAGAGACCTTACCTAATCCTCTGTCATTCGGAAGATGGTGTTGTCTGTGTAGACAGGGCCTTGCTGAATCTGTTCTCTCTTCCTGAAAAGACAGGCATCATTTACGTGACAAGGCATGAAACTGCGTACGTGTTCTCTTATGTAAGAGAAATACCCTAAAACGCTAAAACGCTAACACGTTATGAAGGAGTTTCAAGTTTAGCTCAGTGGCTCTCAAAGTGTTTGGTACCAGGATGCCTTTAGAGTCTTAAGAACTGAGAGTTCCGTGAGCTTTTCCTTTATGGGGTTCTATCTATTGATAGTCAACCGTATTAGAAATCAAAACAAGAAGTTTTTAAATACTTAATAATTCACTTAAAAAGAACAAGCCCACTACGTGTAAACACGAACGACATAACCTTCTATGAAACGCGACTATAGCTCCCAACACAGAACTGTAAGAACTCGAGTGAGAAGACTGAAGCGTCCTCCGTGTCGCCAGCTGTCCCGGCTGAACGGCAGATTCCCGCCCTGCCTCTCCCTGTAGCCCTGCCACACGCTACCCTGGCAACGCCACTAGGCCCCGTGTTAAGCAGCCACGCAAAGACTTAATCTTTCCTATCACACCGAGACTTGACGGAGTCATTTCGTGAACTTAGGTACAGCGTGGACTCTGAAGCCGTGGCACCTGCCCTTTGTCCTGTGTTCGAATCCACTGGCCTGCTCTGTACCCCGAACGCACCTTTACGTCCGCCGCCTCTGGTAACGCCACACGCGGAAACATTCGAAAGGCGCTGGCTCGCCACGTGGCGCAGAGCTCCCCAACGTGCAAATATTCACCACGCGACATCGAAAACTCAATTATTCCCCAAGATCCCCAGGACTTTCCGGTCTCATCACAAAAGTCTCGGGGACACCATCCAGATCACGGTAGCAGAGAGCAGCCGTTTCGGATCCTGACCTCACCTGAGAGGTGAATTTTATCACTGGCAACAAAGACTGTGCGTCGTCTATTTTGAAGTGACAGGCTCAGCTGGTCACGTAAGCAATGGCCTGTCTCCTACTCAGGTCTACGTAACCGCAGTCTGTCTGTCTGTCAACCGTTCCTTCAAATAAAACCGGCGCTCCATGAAAAAAACGCAGCTGGTCCAGCACCAACTCAAGTAACGGCACCAGTGCCCATGAAGTAGCTTGTGTTTTATCTCAGAGAATCGTAAACGTACGTGGTCTCAAGGGTCGCGATGTCACAAAATTAATCACTTTTGTTGCTTTCTATAGAGACTCTTAAGGTACTGGTGTTTTTGGTTTTTTATCTTCCCCCCCTTAAACTGAAGAAACACGTTAAGGAAGAAGGAGGCAATGCCCCCGGACGGTTTGGCGCCCGCCCTGATGTGTGCCGGGAGGCCGGCTGTTCCCGCCCACCATACTGCACGCGAGAGCAAACGCCGACCGGGTCAGGACGGCAGAGCAGGTTAGTATTACTGAGAAGGCAGTCGACCTACTGGGTCCCCGAAAAGGGTTCTGGGGTCCCGGGGTCAGCAGATCACAGCGCGAGAGCTGCCCTTTAGCCAGTATTTCCAGTTGTTCTGATCCAAACCCATCACGTTTCAGGTGACACGTTTCACGTTTCAGACGTAACAAGCTTCCTTCCCAGGGCGAGGCTGCCCGTGGGTCACCGTGCGCAGGCAGAGGGACCGCAGGCAAGCGCGAGCTTACCTTCCTGGGGGGCGTGGCCGTGGCCTGCAGGACGGATGGGTGAACGTAGTCGTCCGGGTGGCAGAGTGGGGCTGGAGGAGGAGACGTTGCTGGGGTTCCCAGAGGAGTCCCTTTTCCACCTGTTCACAGACGACACACACGCCATCACTAAGCCTATTAGAAAACTCTGAATTTTTTCCAACTGGACTGTAAAGAAAGCCGCCAGACTTAACTTTCTAGGGATCTAGAGTTGTTGTTTTGGTCCACCTTCTATGTTCTTAAAGCCCCAAGGTTCACATCACGCGTCAAAAACAGGTTTACTGGGGCACCTGGGTGGCTCAATCGGTTAAGTGTCTGACTTCGGCTCGGGTCATGGTCTCACGGTTCTCGAGTTTGAGCCCCACACCAGGTGAGCCCTCGTTTTTTCTCTCCGCACCCCAACTCTCCTCCCTCCCCGCCTCTCGCTCACTTGCGCCCTCTCTCTCTCTCTCTAACAACAAAACAAAACAAAAACAGGTTTACAACTGTCAGCAGCCCAAACTCACTATCGGACCTAAGAGACAGTTCCTTGCCCTACCCAGCAGGCCCAGACCAAGCAACCGAGTCCAGCCTCAGACACACGTACCAGTTGGACCAAAGGCTTTACTGTAAGGGTGTGACAGGTCAGGTGGGACGTTTCCAGGAGAAGTTGGAGGAGTGGTCATACCACAAACCATAGACGGGCTCCAGAGAGTAGCCTGGGAAGTTAATAAGGCACGTCAGCAATGAGAAATGAGCACCAAGCCATCCCCAACCCTTATTCTATCCAAGACGAAACGGAAACAGGCATCTTACTAAGGCTCTACTGTGAGACAAGACGCATTCTGTAAATCTAGACTCCAAGAGAAACCCAAGTGGCAACAGTAACTAACTGCCCTAATACCACGCATCCTTGAAAACAAGTCCTCAAATGAGCAGTGTCAGATTTTCCCAACCATATGCTAAATCCCGACCCAAACGGGCAACTTCCCCACAAGGAGAGGAGCGAGCAGGCAGGCTCTTTAACACCATACTTGTGGCGGCTCAGTCGACAGCCGTGTTGATGGGGGACTCAGAGTCTGAGGTGGCTGCCCGGGCGTATTTAACAATGTCAGCCGAGAGCCGGAATAAGGGGTCGAGGTAGCACTCCCTACAATGAAAGGGCAAGAGCACAGCAGGTTAGTGTGTGACTTTAGGTTATTCTGGAAAAGAAAAAAATTACGGCACTTTCAACCATTAGATGATATTCACATTTAAAAAAAAACTAAGGGGACTCCCAAGGCACCGGGGACGAAGTAACATCTGCACGGCTCTTTAAATGCTCTTTGGAAATAAGGTTCAGTAAGGGCTGATGTCCAAGGAAGCTTCAGCGGGGAGAAAGCACAGCCTTGAGAAAGCACAGCCGGGATGATACCCGTAATGGGTACTGCCTATGGATAAGCCCACCTTTTCTAGAAACCAATTCTACGTCGTCCAGACTCACTGGAAATGGGTCAGTGCTACAGCCCGCAGGGCCTCACTACAACTGCCTGTAATAAATGTAGAAAGACTCCCTGCCTAGAAGCTGAGTATTTTTCCTTTTCGGAAACGCGTTAAAAACCCACTCCCAAGTCTGCTGGCAAACTGTCGGGTGGGAGATACAGGAGATCGAGGATGTGGGACTCTAAATTAAATGGGACGGAGGAATTAATCAGGAGAAACTGGAGGCGAATTCTAATTTTAAATATTTGGGAAACCGTTCCTAGGAGCTGAAGTGAAGTCTTACTCCGGGAAGAGACAATGAAGTTGACAAAAATCAACGGTGTTCTCCAGAGACAAAGCTGTAGAGCAGTAAGAACCGAAGTCACTCTCACCACAGCTATTCTGCGTGTCGACGTAAGGGCTGGCGGCCACATCGGCCGCACGATGAGGAAAGTGTGCTGACACCTGGGGGGACACAGAGTCGCTGTCTTCATACGAGGCTTCTGTGGGGTCCAGAGAGATTTTGGCACACTCTATCACAACATCGTGCGTTTCTAATCTCTTCCACCTGGAGAAGGCAACACAAGTTAAGAAATGCAAGGTGTAATCCATTTTCTCAAACAACCAAAGGCTTAAGAATGCTAACTCGGGGCCGGGCACAGAGCTAGGACCGGCCAAGGACGAGGCTGAAGCATGCCAGCCCAAAGAGTAAACGGTACTGGCACGCTAAGAATCAAACCTAAGGCCTCCCTATTTAAAATGGTGACATCAGATTATCAGAAACGAATCTGAAACCAAAACGTCATCAACAAAAGACTAGAAAGAGCCTCAAAAGAGAACAAACTACACAGAGCGGTCGCTAGGGGGAAATCTCCCTCAGAACAGAGGGCATCGAAGAACAGGGGGACTTGGAAACTGCCAGGGAGCAGAGGCCGATTCGAGGTCACTAATCGAAGGCTGGGGAGTTCTAATCCATCGCCAGACCGGAAAGACGCCACAGAAAGATTCGAACCCAGAGAACGCCCACGAGAACGTGTTTAAGATCGTCCAAAGATTCCGGTCACGTGATCCACAGTTACACCTCTAGGCTTTAGCTTACGGAAATCGACACACATCAGGATGGACGATACCCAGCACAGCTTATAGGGCAGAAAGAAAAAAAGAAGCAACCCAAAGTCAAACCACGGAGACATATTCTAGAGAAGAAAAATGATCATACCATCATGAAAAAGCATGCTTTCCGCAGGTCAATGGCTGCCAAGAGTCAGGAAGGACACCGACCACAAAGGACACGAAGGAACCTTGCGGGCAACGGAACATTCGTTATCGTGACCGGACTTTTGTCAGAACTTAACAAAACTGACGAATCTTAGTGTATGTAAACTACACCTTCCTAAAGCTGATTGGAAAACTCACGTTTCCAAAGATTCAGTGACATAAGATGGTCAGGGTATGAGCTTAAATGAAGAAGAGATTCAAAACTGCTCAGAGATATGCCCACCAAGTGATGGATATGACCACACTAAGTATTCCAACTAAAAGAACTGAAGTCAAGAGTGGTAGTCTTTTTCCCCTTTCCACCTGTTCAACATTTGCCAAATGTTCTACAAAGCCCTAACGATGAATGCAGCATCCACCTGCTCCAGTACAAACTTCCTTTTAGACCACGTAATTTCGCTATACGGGTTCCTAAGTAAGTAGTAATCCGGCAAGACTCTCATTTTCACGTTCCCAACTTTACAGAAAAGCAGCCCAGCACTAAGGGCACCCCGTGGGTTTACCCCAACAAAACATCTACTCCTCCTCCACAACTGTTCTAGAATGTTCTTCAATCTGAGATGCTGAAAATGGGATCTCAAATACAGAACAAGAGTCCAGGCCGTAGGCAGCATCCCCAAGAGGAGAGCCGTTCGAGGTCACTGCCACACATCTGGTCTACGCGGGTGCTCGCTGTCCGTGGTATGTGTCTGTGTGCATGGGCAGCAGCCTCCGCCTGGTGTGTTCTCAGCGTGACCGGCAAAGGGACGGAGTGAGAGCAAGGGTCGGGCTGCTTAGGTAGGAACGTCGATTTGAGAGAAGAAAGTGAGACTCGTAACACAGTAGGAATGCGTTCAGATGTCTGACTTCGTCACGAATACGTGCACTCACAGTATTTTCCTCGATTCTTAAAGGGACTCTCCGTACTTTAATCTCTCTGAAACCGGGAAGTAAAATCTCATCGGTTGCGTGTCAGTTTTTGTGCATCTTTTTTTCTTTCGCGGGTGAACACGAAACAGAAGTACTCCACGGCATCTTACCTTCAGTCAAATATGGTAGTTGCAAAAGTCTTCATGGGATCAAAAGGCCCCTCCCATGCCACGCCCCTCAAGCGCTTTGGCAGCTGTTTCCAATTCTGTCGGCCGAACTGGTACCCTGCCTGCGTGTTTCTAAATGTGCTCTGAGCTCTCGATTTCCCGATGTACAGATCACATATCATCTGTTAACTTCCTGTGACGGTAGGTGACGAGGTAGGCCACTTCCCTACACCCTTTTCCCTCCTCCCCGATGCTCTCAATAGAGGTGTATCATGTGTTGGTTTAGTCTCAAAATCGGTTTTCGACAATCATTATGAGTATGTAAGTACTACGCGTTAGCCGAAGAGCGTAACACGAGATTTCCCTTTCTGTTCGATTTAGTTTGTCCCGGAGGTTGGATTTTTCTGTTTCTTTTTCTCAGTCTTCTGTATATCTATTATAATTCTTCCTAAATTTACTCTAACAGCTCTGAAACAATGCCTAATGTAATTTTTACATAACGATATGCAAATAATCTGCCAGAATTATTACCCTCTCTCTAAATAGCTCCCTCCTGGAGCCCTCTCTCTCCCACGTCAGTTGAGACCGGTTGTTCTCAGCACTGCAATGCAGTGTTATCCCAAGACTTCCCTCGACCACGACCCTAAGTCAGGCCCCCTCGTTTCCTGGAGCCTGTGTCTCCCCCGATTGTCCTCTCCTTTCGATGGGACACGTGCTCCAGTAGTTAGCTGAGGAGGGGAAGGTGGGAGGTACACCGGAGTCCTTGCATAGCTAAAAGTATCACGCTTGACAGGCAGTTTGGCTAGGTCTAGAATTCTAAGTGGAAAACCCTTTCGTCTCAGTTAGCCTCAGAAGCTAACACCATTCCGACTTTATCCTTATGATGCATTTTGGTGTTTCCTCTCTCTCAAAGTTTTATCCCTGGTGTCCTGAATTCACCACGTTGAGACTTCGGAGCATTCTTTCTCACTGGTTGCGGCCGGGTGCCAGGTGAGCCCTTCAATCTGGAAATGCGTGTCCGTCTGGAGAGTTTCTTCTACTATGTCTTTTACAACTTCTTACCCCACAAAAGTTTTCTCCTCTCTTTTTAAAACTCTTTTTTTATGAGATGTCAGACTTCCCGGACTGGTTATTTTAAGTATCTTTCTGCTCAGAATATTCCTCCTCTCTATTCTTTGATTCTGTTTTCTGAGACACTCTCAACTCTGTCTTCCAGGACTTTTGTCAAGGTATCTACTGTAGTAGCTCTCATTTTTCATTTTCAAGCGCTCTTTCTCAGTCTCTGAATGTTCCCCTCCGTGGCCCTCTGACCTCTCCATGTGCTCAAATGCCCCATCTCAGTGGCTACGACATCTCTGTATTATCACGGTTCCTTTCTAGTCCCTTTTTCTCTTGAGGTTGGTCTCTTGTCTTCTGGGTTAGAGCTTTCTCCAAAAGCCAGATGACCCCTGCCTACGCGAAGGGAGCAAGGCTCTCTAAACTGGCCTGGGAGACTTCCAAGTTCATATCCTAGACTGAACATACTCCTCCGACTGTACAACCTCCCAAACCCACCAAGCCTACAGTAGGGATTCGTTTCTTCTTCCTATAAACCTACGACAAGGAGAAGAATGGGAGAAGAGAGAGCAGCACGACAGGTTCCTGAAACTGGAAGGCAGACAGCCCAGAGGTAACCGACGCCACAAATTCATGAAAGCAGAGCCCTAAGCTCCCGCCGTCTCAAAGCTAAAACTCAAGCTGACTCATACTGCAGAATCCTTCAAAAGGTAAAGAATTTTTACACATCAAGTCCTTCTGGAACTGGAGAGGAGCACAGGTAGACAGGCCAGTTAGCATCGGGACGACAGGGTGAAAACTATTTGAGGGGCAGTTAGAGTCCCGAGGTCCCCTCCCCGACTCAATGCTCCCGGGCAGCAGAAATCTGGGCTATTCTCTGGAAAGGATAAGACACGGTTTCGGGACTGAGCTACTCCGGAAAGAGTTGAGGGTGTGAGTACCACTCAAACAAGGGAACTAAGTGAGCGTGTCCACTCTGGATGTCGAGACCACCAGCCCCTCCCACGACCAGCCTCTTCTCCTCAGTGGCAGCCAGCCCCTCCCCAGGCTAGAGAGCAGAAGACCCTCCTCCACAAAAACTCCGCCAGCAAACTCGATACTGACGTCAGTATTTCCAAGCGATGCTCAGGTTGACACACGTGGGAGCTCAGAGGCAGTGAGCCCCACCCTGTGAACAGATCTTTCTGGCTCCTTACCCAGACGCAGGCAGACTGTCAGATCTTTGCAGAAAGCCTCGAAGACTTCAAAAGAACAGGAGTCAATGGATTACACAGGGAACAAACAACATTCAGCTTTCTCCAAGACGTGAAAGGCTGTAGCCCTGAAACCCAAAACAGCTACCGTAAAGAGGAGCATTCGGAGAACCGTAAAAAGCTCTCAGACGTTCAAAACACGGCGCTAGGAATGGGAATGTAGCCGCGACAGGACTGAATGCTAAAAACGAGGAAACCTTTAGAAGGAGCCAAAGAGCAAGACACGAGAAAACAGGGGAGCAAAGAAAAGCAAAGAACCACTCTCTGAGGCCCCGATCCACATACCAACAGTGCCAGCCAGACACGAGGGAAGGAGATCGAACACGAAATAACGAACGAGAGTTTCCTAGAGCCTAAAGATAAGAGTTTCCAGATTGAATAATGAGAACAGACTCTGACCAGAAGTGCCAGAATGTGAGAGCAAGGAGAACTCTCCAGGCTCCCGCAGAGAAGAACACAGCAACACAGCCGGCGAGGAGTGAGAGCAGCTTTGGATTTCGATGGCAACACTGGCGGCAAGGTGGCGATGGAATGACGCCCTCCGAGTGCGGGATGACGAGGACTAGAGGTGTACATCCCGCCGGGCAGCCGCTTCCTTTCTCTCAAGGCTACGAGAGGGTGAGCTCCATGAAAACAAGAGCAAACCGGGGAAAAAAGCCACGAGACGCAGGGGAGGGCAGGGAGGGGCAGAACGAAGCCATGCACGAGGCGCGAGAGGCGGCCACGTCCCCGCTGCCACCGCTCTATCTGCTTAATGGAGGGACACAGCGTGCAGGTGAGCCCGGCCCGGATGCGCTGTGCTCAGTCGGTCCTGATTCAGCACTGACCGAGGCCCCGCTCTCCCTTCTCTGCCTGGATCGGCCCCCCAGGAGGACACTGCTCTGACCCGCTCCTGGAGGCGGGCCACCGTGAGCCGAGCCACAGCTGCCAGGCTCCGGCAGCACATCCAGGAGCCGGCCTCGCCACGGGCCTTGCCAGATGCGCGGACTCCGGTGAGCCCGGGTTCTCGGGACTCATTCGGGAATGACCTTGCCCACCGGCTTCCCCTCCAGAGGCTCTGCTAAAACTCTCAATGAGGGAAGCCGGGTGGACGCTCAGACACTGGGCTCTTCCTCGCGTCTCCTGCACACCTTCATCTAATGGTGACAAGACTGCCCTTTCCTTAGCCTGGCCTGGCCTCCTAATCAGCTTTCCAAAGCCCAACAATACATGTGGTCAAACTCTAAAGAAAAGAAAGAATGATCCACATAAAAGCAAGAACAGTGGGCTCCCTCGAGTGGGACAGGGAACAGGGAGAAAGACGGCTGGGAATGTTCATCTGTGACGCCGGGCGGTGGCTGCACGCACAGGTATTCACGTGATACGTTAAACTTTACACACACACTCTGTCTCCCTCTCCACAGCCAGCATCTCTCACACACAGTAAGTGGCTGTACGGTGACTGAGGCTCCGAGTGGCAGAGAGAGGGCCTGCGGGGTGAGGTTCGCCGTGAGAGGACCGGGCAGTGGGAGATCCCCAGATGTTGGCATCTGTGGACCAGTTTCCCCAAAAGGGGTTCAAGCCTCGGCCGAGGGAGCTGTGAGCCAGAGAAAAGTTGGGGGAGGAGCTGAGCTTCTCACAGATCCACGCAGAGAATGTCACTCCCTTCCCTTCTCAGTCTGGACTCAGCCCTGCCTTCCCCCACGCCAGGTACCCTCAAAGAGGAAGCCTCCAGGTGCAATTTCTCCGGGGAGCACACCCAGAAACTACTCAGGGTCCCACGGAGGATGGCAGTGGCCTGCTTCCACGCAGGCGGAGTCTAACAACTCAACATCCACACTTGCCACAATCCACTTGTTTTCAACCACACACCGCATGGCCTGCCTCACACGGTCACGGGCACCACCGAGCTGGGAGCCTTCCCGGGGATCTGTAGGACAGCTGTCCGCACCGCACCTGCCTCCACTCTGCGGAAAGAGTTATTCTCTGCCTGCGAGGAATGTGTTTTAGACTCATACAAAGTTTTAGCTGTACCAGTCCTTCAAAACTCTGTGATTCCCTAAGTAGAAGGGCCTCTATTTCCAAATAATACCTCCATCTAGGACATCGCCTAGATCACATGATTAACCTGTCTGGGAGATGCTGCAAAATTCTGAGTCGCCGGCTTCATTTCTATACCTTCGAGGGTCCAGTTCGTGGTCCTTGGATCCAGTCACTAATTCCGGGTGAATTCGCACATGCTCCATCATCGGCTAGAAGAGTTTGGGGTGACAAATTACAAAAAGCTCAATCTCTGCGCTATCTCCACACAATGGAATATGACTTGACAATAGAAAGGAATGAGGCCCCGACGCCCGCCACAGCCTGGGTGGACCCAACACGTCACACCACTCCCAGAACACCACGTACGGGGTGCTTCCGTTTCTGGGAAACGTTCGTTCGCTGGGACAGGCCGGTCTACAAAGGCAGAATGCACGTCAGCGGTTGCCTGGGGCTGGGGCTGGGGCTGGGCAGGGGAAGCTGAGCTTCTGCTCAAAATCGGTCTACCTCTGAACACGGAAGCCCCAGCCGCAGGCCGCGTGCACGGGACGCGGAGTATCAAATGGGCGGTCTTCACTTACCCTGACCACCTCTTCAAAAGTGTCCAAGTTCTCCTTCATACTGTAGTGAGAGCGTAGAAAGGAGACAAAGTTGCAAGGGTACATTCCATAGAGGCGATGAAAAAGAGCGTAGACGCTGGCGTGGAGATGGACAAGATAGATTTCCGTCACGTGGCCTAAAACGGGAGACCGCAGACAGGAGACTCAGCCGGACGCGAGGCGACGTGTGCAAAGTGCAAAGCAGGCGTGAGCACGTGGCTGCCAGCACGACCTGTGGTCACTTACCGCCACCTCGCTCCAAAGATAGCAAGCGAGCGTGTTGGGCTGAGATGCAAATCCGAGCACCTCCGACACCCCGTCTAAAATCCATCAGTGGCTCCCTCTGGCCTTTGGATACACTCCAATCTACCGAGAGTGACCCATAAAGGCTCCTACCGATCCAACCCCTCCGGTCCTCTCCAGTCTCCACCTGACATTCTCACAACACTGACCTTTCTCATGATAATCACTCTCCCTAAAATTTGCTGTGGTTTTTTTTAAAACCTCTTTTTAAACCTTAAGCGAACTCTAGGCCACACACGTGGCTCAGACTCACGACCCCGAGATCGAGAGGCTCACACTCTACCGACTGAGCCGGCCAGAAGCCCCCCCAACTAAAATTTGTAGTGATACTTCTCCACTGCCCTGTTCAGCAGCGTTTCTTGAGAACGGCACTGTCTCGCTCAGCCCTGGGCCCTCAGCGCCTGGTACGTCACAGGAGCTCAAATACTGGCCGAACGAATTGACAGATCCTTTTGCAACCGGTGTGTAGTCTTAGCTATGCAGATCTGTAACTACAGAGTGAAAAACCTATTATCCAGAAACCAGCCTAAGGAGCCGAGAGTGGGGGAAAGTCGGCACTTAGTTCATCGAGTCTCACGCAGACCCCGCAGAAAACCCAAGGTCCACAGCGTCCGTAAAGCTCCTCCCTAACAGCGGACAGACCACCCCTTTCCTCCCAAGAAGAGCCTACTGAAGAAGCCAGCATCACGCGGCTCCTGTACTTGTTACTCAATTCCCTACAGGAAGCTACAGCCTCTGGTGTCACGTGGCTTAATGCTTCATGTTTGCAACAGGAGTAGCTGGTGCCGGGCTCGCCAAAAGATCCCAAGTATCACAGGCCCACAGCTTCGGAATCATTTGATAGAGCTGGACTACCTGCCAATATGGGAAAAAGATCCCACCACGCTCACAACGAGCGCCCCACTCGGGACACACCGCGTTTTCCCTCCTCCTCCTCCGCATACAGGAGACACATTCCCAGAACCAGAGGTTTGCGTTTTGTGACAAGAGACCAGCAGAGGAAGACCAAAAGGTTCCACAAGCTTAGTCCTGTACTGCCACGACATGGATTGAGGGTGTTTTGATAACATTGAAGTTTACCGACAACTAGCAAGTTTTACATCCTACCAGTTTCTCTGACAACTGATCCTTCTGAGCCGGCAAAGTAAGCAAGGTGTCCCACAGTCCTGATTCTTATTCGTGCTGACAGTGGACGCACCCAACGTATTTCCTCCACTGGTTAGTGACGACCACCCATGCCAGCTAGAAAATTCTACCTGTCCTTGCCTTACAGCTCATGACCTGTTAAATCGGTAAGAAAAGCATCTACCTGGTAGGGAACAACAGGCACGTAAGGACACCTTTACCTGGTTTCTTCAGGCACCACGACGAAAGACGGCCAAAAATATCAAAGAAATCATGAAGGTGCTGTTTCCCCGACTGTGGAATCATTGGTAGCATGGTTATCAACACTAAGACACCTGTTGTGAGGACAATGACATCGGTGTCCACCTGCAGAAGGAAAGGTCGAGCAGGAAGAAACACCTGTCAGGCCCAGCATTCGGATCAGCACTATCAAAACACAAAGAAGCTGCTCTAAATTCTAAGGGGATCACAAACTAGAGCCCCCCCACCACAGACTCATTTCCTTATCCTCCAGGTTTGGGGGGAACAATACTGAATCAGACTTGACTGTACTGAGTCTGATGCCCCTAGATAAACCCATCTGGGAGAGGAACTTCAACCTGACCTGAGGACGCCCAAGTCCTCCAGCCTGAGGATGCTGTACTTACAGCACTTGGACAGAAGCATGACAGGCTGCTTTTTAACAGAACAAAGGAACGCTACTGGTTTTGTTCATTTAACCAAATCCAAAAATATTTACTTTTTAAAATCAATTTCAAAAATGCTACATATTGTCGAGTAGTTCACTTTAAAAAAAAATTTTTTTTAATGTTTATTTATTTTTGAGAGAGACAGAGAGAGACAGAGCACGAGCGGGGAAGGAGCAGAGAGAGAGGGAGACACAGAATTCGAAGCAGGCTCCAGGCTCCGAGCTGTCAGCACAGAGCCTGACACAGGGCTCGAACCCATGAACCGTGAGATCGTGACCCGAGCCGAAGCCGGACGCTCAACCGACTGAGCCACCCAGGTGCCCCATGTATTTCACTATCGTTTAAAGGATTACAACAGAAATATAATTTAAGAAAAAATTAGTGTTATGCTACCAAGTCTACTTAATCGCTCAACTCCACAGCAGCATTCACAGACCAACAGATAAAAGAAGACACGGTGACCTCTGACCACGTCTTTAGTTAAACAGCAAGTCCTGTAACTTCAGGCCAATTTGAAGACACTCGACACAACACCCAACAGATTGAGTCAACTCAGAATAGCTACCGCTGCTCACCTGACCCCTCACTAAATCATGGATGTTTGCCAAGTAACTAGAATTCAGATTTAAGAAACAAGATATTGATCAAAAGACTGCCATGCAGGCTAAGACATTCATTATTCCCGTTAAAAAAGGAAATCTACAAGTCTGGAAATAAAGTCTCAAATAGATTTAGTTGTCACATTAAGCACCAAGCCTTTCGTCACGGCGGGTATCTATCTAACACGAAGAACGAAAATACTGGTAGTTGAATCAAGACTACGTAACCAGTTCCAGTAAAAAGGACTGACCCTAATTTTGTCGAGGAAAATAGTCTAGCAGGGCCTGGCTAACAGTCCAGGAGTAATTTTAAAGTTCACCCATTTGGAAAAGGTAAGTATTTTACAATCTGAACTAAGCTGTGTGCCTCAAAATGGAGTTATAGTCTCACCAAAGTCATTCACTTAAAAAAATCAAGTTTTTAAAATCATTCCTATTTTTTTCTTAACGTTCAATGCCTGTTTTTACGATACCCTACCAATGTGACTCCTTGGGATCCACCTCTAGGGGTAATGAAAGTTACCCTTGTTGGCAGAGACAAGAATCGATCTGTCATATCAGATGACCCAGAGGTACTGCCACCCAGAAACAAATACTGCTGGATATTTTCACGTCTCTGTGAGGTACAGGCAGTTAACATTCACCACATTTTCTTATTTTATAGATAGGAAACAAGTCCAGGAATTAGAACAGATTCGGCAAATAGCCTTGAGTATTTCAGCAAGCCACTGTCAAAACTAAAACCTAGAGTTCTATTCAGGTTGTGACTCACTGTGTGGACAAATTGCACTAAATTTAGTGCAAAAGGAGAATGAGATTCAGTAGGCCTTCTATCAACAAAACTGTAATTACAGCTACAACTAAAACACACTCCCAAATGGTTAAAAAGAGCGCTTGGCCATTTTTGTACTCGCTAAACGAGAATTTAGAAATAAGGGCTCCCCCAAAGAGAATCCAGATGCTTAACTGAGGGAAGACCGGACAACGATGGAATCAAAGAGGGCTGGGATTGGGGCGCCTGGGTGGCTCAGTCGGTTGGGCGTCCGACTTCGGCTCAGGTCACGATCTCCGGCTCTGTGAGTTCGAGCCCCGCGTCGGGCTCTGTGCTGACGGCTCAGAGCCTGGAGCCTGCTTCGGATTCTGTGTCTCCCTCTCTCTCTGGCCCTCCCCCGTTCATGCTCTGTCTCTGCCTCAAAAATAAATAAACGTTAAAAAAAAAAAAAATTAAAAAAAAAGAGGGCTGGGATAATGTCGTCTCAAACCGACCTGAAGTGTTGCCACATTTGCTTGGACAGAAGATACGGGACCGTCACCAGGACGCTCGGAGGACTTACTGAGTACCAACTGTGGATTACCTTATGTTCCAGGAAAGCCAGACACTAAAAGTTCCTAAACTCTCAAAGTCTAGCTCGCTTGCTTTACAGTTACCGAGACTCGCAGAAACGACATTGAGAAAGCCGTTCCGTCCCAACCCTTGCACGCATCGTACCTTGAGACATTTGAGCAAAGAAGGCAAGAGAGGTGCTTGAGACAGCTTGTGCTTCCAGGGCGGCTGCAGCCTGATGACGTGGCCCAGCAACGACAGGGCGGGCAACCGCGAGGCGGCTCTGCCCACACAGTCGTTCATTTTGTCCAGGAGGTGCTGAAAATGTAAAAGAGGGGACGCGCGTCTCAGCCAGGCTGGGAGGCAGGGGGAGGAGATCCTCACGTGAACATATGGAGGTCACACGAACCAAGGTAGCGATGGTTTACTCCAGCCCCTCAAGACCTCGATCAAACAAAAGATTTTTAAAAACCACACTGGCAAACGAAATACGGTTGTGTTTGGCCTGAGACAAGGCAGTCAGTTGGCAAGTCTAGGAAAAAGGGGAGCAGGCTCCTTCCTGGACCCTCTCGTCAAGTGCAAATCAGCCACTTCTTCCAGTACCCACTGGCCCCAAGCCTGCGGAGGGTCGCTGAAGCTGGGAGGGATCCCGCGGTAGCCACTTATTGCCGCCGGAGCCCCGTCCGCGTGGTTTGGCCCCAAATACAAATCAGGTGGTCGAGAAGTTAAAACTCAGCCCAGAAAAACAACAAAACAAAACAAGACACACTGGAAAGGGCACACGGCGGCAAGGCCTCCGAATCCTAGTGAAGCCACTAGCATTGAGGATCTCAGCACTTACCAAAGTCCGCCATCATCCGCCACCCACAAAAACAAAACACGGAGGAGCCCTCCAGGCACCTGGTGCTCGGCAAACAGGACTCGTCAATCAGCCCCGTCAGCCACCTGTACTACAGATTTCCCCACGTTGATTGAGTCTCGAACCCTACTGCCAGCATGACGGGATCATGGGTACCTCATGGGTCAAACTGTCAGTGGACAATTACAGCACGGGGACGACAGGCTTTCTTGAACAGCAACATCTTAGGAAACCTATGAAATATGCTTTCTTTTGTCAACGTCTCGGGAAATGTAAATTCTGCAAGTCATTTTCCCGTGTAGTTACAGTGCGGGAATGGGATCATCTGTGTTCTGGAGAAGTCGAGGCGGCAAGCTCTCAGACGGCACAGCGGGTGTGCGCAGAAGCCGTCGTGCTGGCAGAGAAGGGATTCGGCGCTCCCCCACGACGCCCCAGCGGTTACCTTATCGTGCGGCTCTTGCAGGGTAGTCAGGATGTGCAATACCGGCTGAGAACTGGTTTCCAGGTAATAATCCACCAAGGTGTTTACGAGCATCGGACCACGGTCTGGACAAAGGAAAGGGCGGGTGGAAACAGTTATTTCCTTTAGCGTTCTAAACTTACCTCACGTGGCGCCTGGCACTAAATCCAGGAAACGTTTCCTCATGTGCTACCCAAAGTTACACAGGGCATTCTATTTTTGCCCCCTTGAGTTAATTTGGGTTTAACGGGATAATATCAAATTTACCTGCCTAAATATCCATAAAAGCACTGAAATGCTAGCTTCTCTTTTTATTGCTTTTGATAATTATAAATTCGTAGGGGCGCCTGGGTGGCGTAGCAGGTTAAGCGTCAGACTCTTGGTTTCGGCTCAGGTCCTGATCTCACAGCTCATGAGATGGAGGCTTGTCGGGCTCTGTGCCCACGGCACGGAGCCTGCTCGGGGTTCTCTCTCCCTCTCCCACTCATTCTCTCTCCCTCTCTCTCTCAAAATAAGTAAGTAAACCTTTAAAAAATAATAGTAAGATACAATAAAACTGTAATCAATCCACGTCCATTGTTAACAATTCAGGTTACACACAAGTACGTAAAAGGAAAGTGCCCTCCACGACCAGCCTCCCAACCCACTCTTCCGAGAGTTTGGCACACACCCCCTCACAAACCTTTTCCTACTATGCTAACCACACCGTGCACATGCGTGCGTTCACGTCCATAGTCACACGGTCCGCGTATATGTGTGTTTCTCCCACTTAACGATGTGTGGGCACCCTCCCATGATGGCACCTCTGACCTACTTCATTTTCCTCACTGACCTCCTGGCGCTCCACTGCCTGGCTCTGCGTGAGAAATTTAACCAGTCATCTACTGAAGGGTACTTGGGTTTTCCAATTTCTCCAAGGCTATAAGGAAATACGGACTCGTTTGGTTTTTTCAATGCTTATTTGTTTTTGAGAGACAGAGGGACAGAGCCTGAGCAGGGGAGGGGCAGAGAGAGAGGGAGACACAGAATCTGAAGCAGGCTCTGGGCTCTGAGCTGTCAGCACAGGGTCCGACACGGGACTCGAACCCACGAGCTGTGAGATCATGACCCGAGCCGAAGTCCAGCGCTTAACCGACTGAGCCATCCAGGCGCCCCTGAAATTCAGACTCTTGTTAAGTGGGACACATGGTACGTGCTTTTCAATTGGTGATGGGGACCCCAAAAAGGCTGAACACTAGTTTATTCTCCTGCCAACAGTGCCCATTTCTATAATCAGCACTTGATTTCTATCAACCTAGTAAGCAAAGAAAGGTACTATTTAAATTCATATTTCTCTGATTAAAGACAGGGTATGTTGTGTTTTTTTTTGAAGTTTGTTTACTTATTTTGAGAGAGACGGAGACAGCGCAAGCAGGAGAGGAGCAGAGAGAGAGGGAAACAGAATCCCAAGCAGGCTTTGCGCTGCCAACGCAGAGCCCAACTCGGGGCCCAAACCCACAAAACCGTGAGATCATGACCTGGGCCAAAACCAAGAGTTGGACGCTTAACCACTGGAGCCACCCGGGCGTCCCAGGTTATGCACTTTTATGCTAGAAATCACATACGTGATTTCCGGACGAAATGTTCTACCTGGCCTCTGAAAACACTCGGGTGGGTGGAGTAAGGGAGGTGAGGTGAAACAAGACGCTGAAGCTCGTGGGGTCAGTATGTGATTCTTGACAGGTTTATGTGTGTATCTGAATATCACCGTAATTGAAAGCTTAAAGCACACAGAGAGTGAATCCACCAATATGTGCTCTTTTTCAGTGGTTTAAAGACTCTCCTTAGAAGGTGAAACCCCGAGTCAGCAGAGTGTAGTCGCCCCGAGGGCAGAGGGGCCGAAAGGGACACAAAGCCACTTACCAGAATTGAGGTTCTCTTTAAAGACGGCTGTTACGTCATCACGCACGCTCAGCACGGGGGAGTCCAGCATGGAGACGAGCTCCCCGATGTTGGCTTGCTGGGCCATGGTCTTACGCGGGCGTGCTGTGCCGGGTCCGGAACGCGCACTACAGACTCTGCAGGCTCTTCATGGGTGCCGCTACCAGACTGCGAGGAAGGAAGAATAACAGCGTGACAAAACGCACCCCCCCCCCAAAATGACCGCAAGACAGACCGGCACGCGTGTCCAATGCAGTGAAAGTTCGCCCAGAACGCTGCTGATAAAAGCAGCTAGGGTGTGAGATTAATTCTCTCTGACCCATTCGTGAACACAGTCGTGTGGAACGCAACAACCAGAGAGAGACGGGAAACACTGGTACCTGTCAGAACCATCGCAGCAACTTAATACCACGACCGAAGCTAAGTTTTTTATTTTCATTCCTACTTCTGATTCTACCTTGGGTTTCGGCTAAGACGATGCCTATGTTTCAAATCATTGATCAAAAGAGTAGGTGAACGATTTTCCGAAAAAGCACTGAAAACATACCATTTCCCTCTCGACACTCCCTTCAATGTCTAGAAGTTAGTATAGCTTCTCAGGTCACAGGACCATAGGTTCAACACCTCATTTCAACCAGGGACCGCTCCTCAATTTTTCGTACAAACTCCTCGCCCTAGGGGTCTATCACACTCGAATGCCACCGGTCACAGGGAAAAGGCCCCGGGTGGGGATCAAGCGGGGAAACCATGCACCCTCTGAAGACTCAGTGCCTCCTGGTGCTGGACATGCCGCCTCACCCTTCCGTACAAAAAAGCAGCTCATTCTCCAGGCATCACTACCCACACTTACAATTGTTCTCTTCTCTCCGCTTGGGTCTCTAAAGGTGTATTTTTAAAAACAAAACCAGTTACCATTTAGGAGACAGGAAGTGCACACCTTTTACAAACATCACTGAATACAGTCCTTATATTGGTATCACGCAATTGGTTCCTCCATCCCCATTTTGCAGGGAGAGAAACAGCGATCAAGACATTTGCTTGGGGCTGCTAAGTTGGCAAGAAGCAAAACCAAAAGAGAACTGAAATTTAAACCCAGATCTGCTTGACGGTAAAGCCCTAAGCCCTTAAATGTGACACGAAGCTAACTTATGGTTTTGACTCTCACAACAATTCTGCGAGGTCAGCAGATAGCCTCTTTTACAAATGACAACATGGATACTCTAGAAGAACAGGTAACTTTGCCAAGGTCACATGGTAAAGCAGAACTCAGATGGCTCCACTCCCAGACCAACGACTGTCTCTGTCCTCTGCCACCACGTTGCCTCCTCCTGGGCCTGTCCTGGAGTGAGCTGGAGTGGCCGCTCCCCAGCGCCACCATCGACGGAAACCACCCGGGATGCCTATTAGAGATGCAGTCTCCTGGGCCCGTTCCAGAACTGAACTTGGGGGTTAGGAACCTGCATTTTAATAAGCACGCTGGCAGGAAACACTACGCTAAAGAAAAATTCCACTGAAGAGTTAAGTCCCCCTCCTGTAAGGATGCCAAATTTAAAGTACCAGTGACCCCAGAAACTGGTGAGTACTTCCTATCACCTCTGCTCTCATTTTTTTTTTTAATTTTTTTTTTTTTTAACGTTTATTTATTTTTGAGACAGAGAGAGGCAGAGCATGAACGGGGGAGGGTCAGAGAGAGAGGGAGACACAGAATCGGAAGCAGGCTCCAGGCTCTGGGCCATCATCAGCCCAGAGCCCGACGCGGGGCTCGAACTCACGAACCGTGAGATCGTGACCTGAGCTGAAGTCGGACGCTTAACCGACTGAGCCACCCAGGCACCCCACCTCTGCTCTCATTTAATTACAACCTGGCAGTAGTCACTGATTTGCCTCTTGGCAAATCAGAAGTTCATGAGCCCCAAAAATCACTTAAAATGTCTACATGCAGGGGCGCCTGGGTGGCTCAGTCGGTTAAACATCTGACTCTGGATTTCGGCTCAAGTCATGATCAAATGGTTCATGCGCTCAACCCCCGCGTCGGGCTCTGCGTGGACAGCATGGAGCCTGTTTGCCATCCTGTCTCTCCTTCTCTCTCTGCCCCTCCCCTGCTTGCACATGCGCACTCTCCCTCTCTCTCAAAATAAATCAACAAACATTTTAAAAATGTCTACATGCATTTTCGAGAGCTAATCCTGATGCAGGAAGTTGCCGGCTCACAGCTGTAAATATAAATCGTATAGGTAAATCACAAAGAAGTCCATTTCAAAGGGCTTACAACTAGTCAGATTTTCTTGTAATAGAGTTCAAGGCTGAAAACAGAAACAAATTTCACCTTGTGAGTGAGATTAAATTAAATTTAAAAGTGAGGAAAATATCAACCTGTCAGGGTTTATTGTCCACTGAGAGAACTGAATGAGAGAACGTACGCACACACTTGGCACAAATAAACACTCCCTGAGTAGTGGCCACATATTTCAAAAAGAAAACTAGTAAAAATCTTGGGGCCATCATTTTCAAGGTGACTTTTTAACAGCACATTTATCTGGCTAGCCCTCACATTCACTCCTACTCCAGGTAAGCCACAAATGATCCCTCAGATTTAAAAGCATTTTTGTCCCCAAGTTTGGTTCTGTTCCAATAACACTGCTACTTACCTAGTCTCAGTATAGTGAGGCTCTGAGTTTGTATTTTGTATATTCAGAAGACAGTAACGTCAGAGCTGGTCCCCCAAATCCAGGCAGCCCAGAACACAGAGTGCCAGGAGTTCAACTCCAAACAAAGATGGCGCTCATCCAGTCAACTTGGCCATACCCAGGGCTGGCCAGCCTGGGCTACCTCGCTTGCTTTTCAGTTTGTAAATGTCATGTTAGGGGTCAAAGTCTTGTCTCTGGAGCCTGTTCTTTCCAGATACTTTACAGAAAGCACAAATAAGGTTTCCTTGTAAAACACATTAGTATATTTTTGGCAATAAGCTTTTCTCTTTGGTTCTAAGATTCTATCTTTCAACCACATTTTTTTAATTCCCCAGAAAAAAATATAAGTCTTGGGTTTCATGGGAGGTTCTTCATTTAAGTGTCCCAAGTTCAAGGATTCTGACGTTCAAAAAAGCCCTCCCAAGGGTTTGTTTAATCATGAGCTTTTGAAATCAGTCCCGTGATTAGCGTATCTCTTTTAAAACTCATTCAAATATTTCTCGAGGGGCTAAGTGCAGGGTGCTGAGTAGGAAAGACAGACTTAGCACATGCAACGGAGAATTAAATGCGGGAGAAGGAAGTGGACGGGGTTCAGTGTGTGCACAGAGTGGGGAAGGGGCCAGCTCAGCCTGTAGGCAGTAGGGGCCGGTGAGGCCCACACGTGTTAGACACACTTTGCAGTCTAGGGAAGATGGACTGGAAAAGTCACCCGAAGGTTAACACCACAGGCACCGGAAGCATCAACTTACAGCTGTGGAAGTCTCTCTTCCATTCTGGAAATAACCAAGTACAAAAAACAGGAGTCACGAGAAGCTGAAAGTCAAGACCTAGGTTAATACATTTCTGTAACCTACATGCCAAAGCGGTATTCCACTTAGTCAGTGTGACCATCACTGGCCGCGTGCCACAGCACAGTGCTACAGACAATGCTACTCGCATTAGGGAGCAATGACTTTCAACAGCCGCTCCCCATGCCAAAACCTGTCACTCTGTCAGTCTTCTGGACCTCAGGAATACGCACGGCCATCGGTCTGAAGCCAACATCAAGGTGACATCCTCGACTCCTCCACTGGCTCCTGTCCTCCCCTCGGATCTGTCAGCAAACCCACGATTTTGCTGTCCCTTCGTGGCTCCCGTCCAAGCCCCATCACCCTCCATGCTACTCCTCCCGCCTATATTCCTGCTCCCCTTCCGACGCAGCTGCCACCAAACAACCACAGAAGACTCTGAAATGGGGAAATCAGAGCCCATCACCTGTTTCGCTCCATGCAATGGCTTCCCGTGGAGACAAGAAGAGCCGAAGCCACGAGCGGCCGGACGGCTCCCTGTGCTCTGGCCGGTTGTGAGCCCTCAGCCGCCGCCTGCCTCCTCTTGCTCCACTCTGCCTCGTCATTTCTCTGCTCTGGTCCCCGCCTCCCCAAACCCAGGAAAACTGGTGCTCCTGCTGCTGCCCCTCTCCCTGGGATGCTCCTCCCCCAGATCCTTGCATGGCTGACTGTCACTGAGGTCTCTACTCAAAATGTCACCATCTCAGAGAGGTCTCCCCGGAGCACCCAACCGGAAGCAACAGGGGGGTTGTTAGTGACCGCCCTTGAATCGACCAAGCTTAAACTTTACAACCGGTCATCAGATTCGATCACACAGGACACTTAGTATGATCTCAACTCGCATGGAAGATAGGGAGTCACCCAAGTTTAACTTTAGTCTCTATACTTGGCCAATATCTGGCTTTGGCCTTGGTCTTTGGAACCTCTGAAACTTGAACTGCCTACTTCAGCAGCATTTCTGGCATTCCTGACTGTGTGTGATCAATAGCTACGTGTTCATGTCGTAACCATTATATCTAATCTACACGATGTCTATAATGTGGACAAGGCGTGCACTTAGAATTACTGTTAGAAATCTGAATATTCACTCTCAAATAAAGGTAAAACACTCTAGCTGTAACATCCAAGCTCAGTGTTTTACAGTTTCATTACAAACGTATATTTATTATAAAAATAAAAGCTTTAGCTGATGAACGTGGCTTTTTTTTTGAAGATTTTTTTTTAATGTTTATTTATTTCTGAGACAGAGAGAGACAGAGCATGAGTGGGGGAGGGGTGGGGGTGGAGGGACACAGAATCTGAAGAAGGCTCCAGGCTCTGAGCTATCAGCACAGAGCCCGACGCGGGGCTCGAACTCACAGACTGCGAGATCATGACCCGAGCCGAAGCCAGACGCTCAACCGACTGAGCCACCCAGGCGCCCCTGAAGGTTTTTTAAAAATGTTTACTTACTTTTGAGAGAGCACAAGCAGGGGAGGGGCAGAGAGAAAGGGACGAAAGATCCGAAAGGGGCTCTGCGCTGACAGGCTGACAGCAGCAAACCCAATGTGGGGCTTGAACTCACTAACCGTGAG